CACTGGGGGCGGTGCCGTTGTGGCAGTTAGTGCACGGGCTTGGCCCGGGCCGGCCGCTTCTGGGGGGGCGGGGCTGGAGCCGGGTCCCCTCCCGTCCCGGGGTGGCCGGCTCCTGCCCTGAGGGTGCCGTCGACTCTGAAAAGCATGCGAATAAGGCTGCTGTTACTTTGTTTTCTGTTGCTCCCTGTAAAGCACCAGCAAGCGAGTCCTGGCCCCCTTCGTCCCCACAATGCGAGGAGCTAGCCCTAGCCACAAGGATTGTTATGGCACCTGTAGAGCTTCTCTGGAGGTTTCCCCCCCAGGAGGTTTGAAGCTGCCAGACTGCTGGGGGGCTGCCCGCAGGTGTGGCTGCTGGAGAACTGCCTCCCCCTGCTGTCCAAATGCAAGTCGGAGTTGGGGCCGTGCTGCAGTTGCCCGTGAAAGCTGGGGGGAACCAGATCTAGAGTTGCTGTGCCTTTGCAAGCACTGGCTTTGTAGCCGGCAGGCTCCTTTTGGGGCTCTTTTTACCCCGGGATAATTACTTTGCAGGTGTGGCCACTCTACATTTATTGCGCGATTGACCAGTTTATGTGATGATTGCACTGCCCGTGTGGTGGGGCTAAATTTACTGTGCAACTTGCCAACTGTGATAATTACTTTGCATGTGCGGCCGGTCTTCCATTGCACACGTGGCTGGTCTAAATGTACAGTTCAGTTGACCAGTTAATTGCATAATATATATATAACATCTGACAGGGGCCTAGGAGCTGCTATTTTCCAAGGGATGCCAATGGTCCAAAGAGGTTGAGAACCACTAATCTAGATCTATTGTTCACCCTATCCAGAAAAACTCAGAATAGCTTATAATAAATCATAGAAAATAAGGGTTGGAAATGATCTCTGGAGGTCATCTAGTCCAAGCCCTTGCTTAAAGCAGGACCATCCCCATCAGGGCTCTGTTGAGTTGGGCTTTAAAAACCTCCGATGGTGGAGATAAACAAAAATGACAAGCAACAAAAGCATGGTCAGTTCTGTTCCCTTTATTTTCTACGGATAATAATTGTACGAGCTCCTTAAACTTTTTTTTGTTTTTGTTCTTTGCATTTGTACTATATTAATTTAACACTTCTAAAAAATGTTCTAAGAATTTCAAAAAGATGGGAAGACAATCCTTGCCAAACCAGTTTGCCATATGAATTTTAAAAATACGATGCAAAAGAAGGTGATCAATAGGGTAGGGATTAGGTTGCAGCAGAACAGGATTTACAGCTGTAGGGTTATGTGGCTGCGTGCTGTAGGCATGTGCCTGTTTTTACTATTGTGAAAACACAAGTATATGTATATGGTGTGTTTAAAAAGAAATAAGTAAATTAGACCTGATCAAAACTTCTGTTTTGCGGGGGGAGAAAATCCTTCTGTTTGAAATCTTTTTTTTTTTTTTTTTCCCCTATAATGAAAAGTTCCAAAATATTTTTCCCTAAATATCAAGACGTTTTAACACTCCTCAATTAAAGCCACTTATTTTGGTTTGCAGTGAAGCTAGTTTGTGTCTTTGAGCAGCTACAAAGCCTTATGTCCCCCTCTTTCTCTACATTCGGTAGCCAGCCTGCCATTATGATTCCTACTAAGTAGTTCCTAGCTGGACAATCAAGCGAAGACTCCAAGAAGGAGAGATTACTTGTCAAATAGTGGTATTTCTGTAAATCCACTACCTATTTCACATTGTTCTGCATGTTTTGAGAAGAGCGAGAAATGGGAATGGGGTAGAGCCAGATAATTGTCACTTGTTTTTGAATATGTCAGTTGTGGTTCAGTACCCAAACTTTGTCTAGAACCTCTGCTGCTATTAGTAGTGCAGTGGCTTGTAGGGTGGTGTATCCTGTACTGTAATGTTCAGAGACAGTGGGTGCATCTACACGTGTCCCTGTGGCGCCTTTGTTACTGCACTGTACTTTTAGTACTTTCTTTTGGTTATTCTAGCCGCTATGTTGCCATAGTAATGCATTATAACATGGGAGCATGTTGCTACAATGACTAACTGTGATGTCAGTGTTCTTGCCCATGGACACTAAGTTGCCATAGCACATTGCTACATCACCATAGCATCACGTGTAGACATGCCCAGTATGTATATTAGGAGGATATACTGTTTGCTCATAAATAACCGTTTCTTTCTTGCGCTCACACAACTAAATTCTCTAAAAACTCACAAGTGCACTATATATATAGAATGTTTTGTATTATTCTTGATTTATTGCTTTCTGTTTCAGATTGTTGATGTTGTTGTTGGAAAAGATGAGAAAGGTAGAAAAATTCCAGAATATCTGATCCATTTTAATGGTTGGAACAGAAGGTAAGAACATACTTCGTGCTGTTACTGCTTCCATTTTTTTTGACCCATACTCCTACAAAGATGTCCAGTCAAAGAAAGGACACTTCAGTGCTCTTTGTTCTGTGATTTATTTATTTTTTTACTGCATGTATAAACTTTTGTTTATATTGTTTTTGTGGGATCTGAGATTGATTCAGGTGGCTTTAAACTTCTCTGACATACTTTTTTTCTTTTTTGATGGTAAAGTTAAGTAATAGATTGTAATGTTGACATGCCAATATCGCTTAACACTACCCTGTAAAACCAAGCCTAAAACATGTAGTTTTTTTTTTTAATCAAAAAGCTGAGGAATGATGAAAAGGATACAAGATTTCATCAGAGTACAATTTTGTTTTGAATTTTACTTTTAAAAGTAATAATCCAGAAGTAATCATAAGGTTTCAATAAAATACAGTAGGAGTCAAATTATTAGTATTCAGATAGTTCACAACTTGCTTAGCTCATGATGATGCTGGATTGCCACTCTAGGGCATTTGTAGACGTGCTTCGGGAGACAGGGGTGGGGGGCTTTAAATAGTACAGTTCTGAGAGCCGCACTGTTAAAGCACCTGGAGTGTCATGTGTATTGGCGTCCCTGCACTGAAAAATGGAGGGCAGGGTGCTTTGAACTAAAGCTCATCAAATCAGCTTTAGTTTAAAGTGCCCTGCTGCCATTTTTCAGTATGGGGATGCTGATACATATGACACTAGGAGTCTGCTGGAGAGCAGTAATTGCCGCACTCTAGCAGACTCAATTTAATCATGTCTTTCAACACTCTGTAATTACAGCATGTAGAAGCAGCCTCCCTGCACATGTATAGGAGTTCTTAGTAGTTTGCTGCATCTTTTACAGAGAAGCAGCTCTGCCCTTCTCAAATCAGCTGGTACTCATCAGCAATCTCACGCATGTTATCAGTGAAATAGAGGCTGCAGCAAAATAGCTGGAGCATCTCACTGATCCCATACAGATGTTTGGTGCAGTTGTATATACTTTGGATGCTTTACAAACCCTTATCTCTGCAGAATTTTTAGGAACCTAACCCTGCAAAGTATCATGGTTTTTACTCTGTTACCTAGTACAGTGGCTTTCAAACTGTGTTGAATGGACCAATGGGGTTCTGTGATAGGTTGTCAGGAGTTCCAAAAAGATTGGGAGTAATGGTGGAGCAGACCAGAAGGTAGTGTGCCAGCAGTCCTGGGCCAGTTCACCTGGCTTTGTGTCAGTCTTCAGGGTAGGGGTAGATGTTCTGTGGCAGAAGTGGTGATATGAAAGTGTTCCATGACTTTAGGACGTTTGAAAATCAGTGACCTAGTAGATGGTTGTGAACGCTACCTTTGTCATTCGGTACTTGCTTATGAAGTCTATCTTTCTGTTAACTTTTTTTTTTTTTGCCCCATCTTTATTTAGCTGGGATAGATGGGCAGCTGAAGATCATGTTCTTCGTGATACAGACGAAAACCGCAGATTACAGCGTAAATTGGCAAGGAAAGCTGTGGCTCGCATGTAAGGAATATGTTTATCTCTTGGCATATTAAGTATATATCTCTTCTTAAACAAACAACAAAAATGTCATACAATTCCTATGTACTGGATCCACATCTTTCCAAAGAAACTTAATTGAAAAGTGACAGAGAGAGACTTGCAACAGGGCCACCAAAACAAGTATCTCTGAACCTCAGTAGCTTCCTATACTTGTAAAGAGCAGGGAACCTCAATATTATTGTGACATGCAAAGCACCAAATAAGTGTCCCTCAGGTCAGTTAATTTTGAAGTGGTAATTACCATAAAAACATTTTCCCTGGGACTCTCCTGTTCCATGTAGTATTATATCCTATTCTTTGACGAATTCAGTAAACAAATAGAATTTGTTTAGACTACATAGTTCACTCAAATTTAATCCTCTTTAGGAGAAGAAAGGGAAGGAAGAAGAGACGTTGCAGGTTGCCTGGTGTTGACTCTGTATTAAAAAGCCTTCCTGCTGAGGAAAATGATGAGAGTAGTGAAAACTGTGAGTTGGCTTTTGTTTGATGGTGTGATTTCTTATGCTGTTCATGTAACTTTACTTTTATTAAACTAGTGGCATAAATTAACATGCTATGGGGTATGGTTTATGGCAGGGGTGTCCAAACTTCTTGAATGTGGGGCCGGATCATGAACTTTTTATCACCCGGTGGGCCGGCGAGCCATATTCAAAGACGTCACAGGAAGCGGTATCAAATCAGAAAGTGATGTCATGTGACCTTTGACACCAATGAAGTTTCAGGAAGTGGCAATGAAATGGGTCTAACCAGTTCAAAACTCTCCCTCTATAGCATCC